CTGTGTTTGATAATTGAAGGGTTTGCTTAATTATTATTTTAGGAGCATATACAAAAAAAAATTTGGGCTGCAAAATAGATATAAAGTTAGGGTTATCGAATTTAGGTACGTATACCACCTGAAAATATTATACAGACGTCACTTTGTACCTTCTAGTGCAATCTGAAAGTTTTTATACTAAAGTAATTTCTACTTTGTATAAGTGGGGTCTATTTTTAAAAAGCGATATTCTAGTAAGCTAGATCCTGTTTTGATATACAGTCAACATCTCATAAAACTTGTGGAAATATAGTTGACTTATTGCTTCTAAAATGTCTTTCAAAAAGTTAAGTTAAGAATAAGTTTTTTGTATGGCTTCTACATCTAACATAGAAAATGATTTTCTTTTATTATTAAATTCGTTCTTCCGAAAATTAAAAGTACAGAAGATGCCAAATCAAGTGAATACGCGAATTGCTCGACCTTACCGAAGTGTTTAATTGCCAATATATAAAATTATTTGAAAGTAAAAAGGAGTAAGCCCATAATAAGGGTTCTGAAAAAATAAATAATAGACTTTAACTATTTTTCTGAAAAATAATATATAAGAACGTAATTTTCTTAGAAAAGTTTCTACCATAAGCTAAGAGTTATTATTTTTATTGGAAAATTTTGTTCTATATTTGTCAGCAGAATGTAATTTTACATATAATCTGTATTACCCATTTTATTCATCTAGAAATTATAATCGTTAGTGTTATTATTATTTAATACTGAATTTATTTCGACATTAGTGCAATTTAAAGTTGAACTATAAATCAAAATTATCTATTTATTACAATAATAATTTTAATATAGCTTAATCTGTAATTTTAATTTCAATATATATAATTATAGTAACAAAACACAAAAAAGAACCACCTAACCACCTAAAATGTCAGTAACCCTAATCTAATTTTTTTCTTTTTTTTTTTGTTATTTAAGAGCTACTTCAAATGCTTAGAACAAAAAGGCATTTTTTAATATTAATTACTACTTCCTGAAAAACGTGACTTTATAGAAATTGTTGTATCAACACAAAAACAATTGTAATATGAAAAGGCGAAACTACCTTGGCCCTGACATGCCGTGCACTCGCACAATGAAGGCTAAAAGCAAAACATGTCCTTTCGTTTGTTTACATCTCAAGTGTTACAGATGCCATCTGGCGTGCAAAATTATATACTTCATGTGCATGCGCATAGCATTATCCTGTTGTTTGTTCTATTCCAATGGGATAAATTCTACTATTTGCTTGTTTTCTTGCCTTTCTACACACACACATATATATATATATATGTGTATAATTCTTACTCCACAAACATGGACTAAATACTTTTCCAATAGGAATGCTACTAATTTTTTATTGTACTCAAGTTCAGTAGCATTTTTGTATTCCATAAATCTGGTAGTCGGACGGTGTATTTTTACATCCCGTATTTATTGTTCATAATGCGTATATTTATTAATATATAAATAAAATTTTTGAATTAATTGGAGTTATATTTGTTATTTATGAATAAAATTTTTTAGTATATAAAAATGTTATAATTTATTGTTTTTATACAATTTAAGCAATAGTGAAAAAAAAACCAATACTGACTCCACGCCTAACTTCACTCGTAGAGCCAGAACAATGCAAATCAAAGTAAAAAATCAATAATGTTTATAATATTTTGTTGCTAGAATAGTGTAGTCTGGCAGACTGCGGAAGTGCTGCTAGAGTTAAGGTGAGTGTAGTAGGAACTTAGTAAAAAAAAAGAAAATCAAAACAGTAGAATAGTAAATATTGTTGCACATGTGTGCAGAGTATACACCCATTGAATACAAATATACAAACTTAAAGGAGTAAGTGGAAAAACTGTAATGTATTTTATTAAATTCTTATATATTTATAAAAAATAGATAAATGCTTTTTTAATTTTAGTTGAATATTTATTAAAATATTTAAAATATTCGATAAAGTTAAAAGTTGAATATTTAAAAAAATATTTATACTAAAACAACTTGATATTAATAAAGTTTGTGAGTTCATTTTATTTTTTTCAATTTTTCAATCTTCAATGAAAAACTTTTTTATCACTCTATAGTATTTAAAAACTTATTTAATTTAAAATTTTTAAATAATATATAATATCCTTTACACTTCATATGAAAAAAGACTATAATATCATGATATGTGTAATAAAATTGTAATGAGTCAACAAATGAACTACTATGGCCATGTGCGAATTCAAATAAATTGAAATAAAGTAAATTGAAATTTGCTAGGAATTATTTACACTGCATAAATATTTATTTTTGCACTTATTTATCTCACTTATCCTTCTCGAAATTTTGGTAAATACCAACACTCGCTGCCATATCGACATAATTTACTATTTCCGTCAATTTACCATTAATTTACTCGAACTCGCATACGACCGTGTATATACTATTATCACAGACAAATAATACAAGTAATATTCTATTATTTGTCTGTGCTGTTACTTTATTCATATATATGTATGTATAAACATATATAAGGTGTATAAATATATTCGGTTAAATAGCAGAGTTAATAAATACGGTTATATTCCTCAATGCATCATATATTTAACAAAAAAAAATTTTTTAATTGTATTTAATTTATATTTATTATATATTTTATTTGTTTGAAATATGTTACAATACTTGCAATTTTAACAAGAATAAACACCAATATATAATATATTTAAAAATATTGTTTCTTATTTAATTTACACTTTTTTTATGAATATTTTTATTTATATAAAAATTTGTAACATTTTCAATTCTACAAAAATAAAAGCATAACACATGAAAATAATATAATACAACATATTCAGTACTTACCGACATGTTGCAACTGTGCTCATAGCTTTTATATATATGGCAACACCGTTAAATTATAAGAATCGTCATATTTTTTTCAATTTTATATATGTTATATATATATATATATATAAGTATATACAATTACACATATTTCATACATGAAGAAAACAAAAAACAACAAATAAACGCAAGGCTTGACGATTTATTAAAATCGTTTAGGGAAGAAAGACTACAAAATATGGCGAGCACTTGAAGGCGATTTTATTAAAAAGAAATACTATATGGAATATTTTAAATGATTTCTTTCAATAATCAATTTTATAAATCATGAACTAACAATTTTAACACTAACACTATTTAACACTTTATATATATAAAGTTATATATTTTATTTTATTTATGGGTATTAGTGAACACAAATTTTTATTACACAAATTGAATAACACTTGCTTAAAATTTTTATTTCAAAAAGCCGAATACTATTAACAAAAAAAAAGAATTATATATTCAATATTAATAAATACCACTTCAAACTTTTAAAGTTTAACGGAAGTTTTTGTTGCTTATTAGTTGTAATTTCACAAATAACGGCCAAAAAATGATGATCTTTCAAATTTTGTCTGACACATATTTTTTTTATTGCATAGTTGTATTTTTGTAATAAAAATATTAACAATAATAAGTAAACTTTTGTTGCGTACTATACCTTAATACTATTAACGAGAAAGCTTTTTTAATAATTTAGCGTATCACTAATAAAATGTTATATATTATTTTTTTTAAATAAATCATTAATACAACAAATTTATTAAAAAATTGTATATATTAGTATTAACAATTCCATACGAGCATGTAATTGTTATGTATGAAATTGTTAAATATTACGCACAGGATATTTAAATGTTACTTTAACTCATAGTCATTTAAATAATAAATGATACAAGTGAAAGCGGATTTCTATAATTTTTCTAGATTCTAAATTCTAAACCAACGTTTAAGTCTGCTAAATTTTTTTATTTCAAATTGGCCAAGATAAAAGAAAAATAATGTTATATTTGTATTTACAATTGTTTTTCAACTTTAGCACAACTTTAGCACTTTTCATGGACTTTTATAATTGTATTTTTTGTAATTTTTAAACAGATATAAAAAATTTACATGATTGTGAAATGTTATTGCATTTGAAACATTTATAACTCGGTATTCGTTAACTCGATAAATCAATTATTTTTTTCAAAAACAAATTATACATAAAACTAGATAAAGTACAGAATTAACGACTTCGATCTAAATAACTTAACTATTATATTTTCTTGTATTTTAAAATATTATTATATTACCAGAAAAAGTATTAACAGAAGTTATTTTTTTTGATAATAAATTTGAAAACTTGAACAGATTTATAATTATGACATTACTTTGTAATATTCTATATATTGCTAATCTTGCTGCACAAAATAAAAATTTATTACTATAATATTAATTTATTGGGTCATGCTTCAATTACAGTATAAGAATTTAATTAAATTTGATTATTAGAAAACAAAACCCATTTTCCAACTTTTCATTACAATAGCAATGTCAGCACAAAATTTTCTTGAAAATATTTACACTTACTATCCATGTTGTAACTAACCACATACTAAATAAACCACCTGTGTTCAACACCTTCTGAAGTAATACTTTACGGTGCTACTTTCCATGAGCTACTTTACGTCCGTACATGAGGACACGTTTTTAGTGGCTTAAAGTTCTGGACTGACTTAGGCTTTTGATGGTTTTGTGTCTTCGATAAAAAAAAGACTCGTGTTCAACAAAAATTAACTTCAGATTGTTTAAATTATAAACATATATTTGATACTGCAAAATCTTCATCATAGCTATCGACTGATATAGAAGGGTAGAATACTGAATTTACATTTTGTAATAAATTAAAAAAAAAATATCCGGGAAGCTACAAAGCTTATCAAAGAATATAGAAGTTATAGCCTTACATTTATTCGTATATTCACGAGCCTTCAGGTCTTCCTTTATAGATATCTGAATTGATGATAAAATATAAACTAGAATTTTTAAAACGAAATAATTAAATTAATACAAATTAGCATTTAAAAATATATTAATTACCTTCATTATTTCCATTTTAGGTTATCACCCCACAGCGACACGGTGATGTTTACATATATAATTTCTCAGCAGCAGCGTATCCGCTACAACAGCAACAAAATCATTCACTACCTCCACAAACAAACCAACAACAGCAACAAATTTACAGTAATCAAAATATTTACCAAAATCTAATTATGTCCTCTCCAGCAACAAATGGTAGCAATGAATTTGAAACCTATGATATACCAAAGCCAGCAACACCAGTTAATTATGATTGTCCACGAAATGTTGGCCGCGCGCCGGGCTTATCACATTTACGATATGATTTGATGTCTTTAAGCCTTAAAGGACGTTGTGCCACACCCATACAAGAAGAGTCATATGATGTGCCAAGGCCATTAAATACAATATTACAACATCAGAACACATTAACACCAAGCAGCTCCAATTCATCACTTCTAACTAGCGATTCATTAAGTTTATCATTCTCTTCATCTAATCGCTCATCTTTAGCGAATATGCCAGATTATGATGTACCACGTCGTAATCCAATGCCTGTACGTGGTGTACATCAGCTAACTTTAGCACAACAACAACAACAGCTACAACTAAAACAACAACAAAATCTGAATGGAAATTGTATGACCTATGATTTTCCATTACCAACAACGCAGTTAACACCAGTACAGGAAAAACCTGTAAATAATGCAGCTACAACTTTTATTACCAAAGAGCTTCCATTGGAATTGTCATCAGCGCTGGAAACGTTAGCAAAATTTCAATCCGAAGCAACAGGAGCAATAACAAGGTAAATATGAAAGTATACTGAATTAAATTAAGAAAGGACAGTGACACAACAACAAGATACATTGTTAAGGCGGTTTTCGAGTATGTAATTTGTTGTTGTTCAGTGACCTAACTAAATGAAATCGACTATATAATAAATTTAATTTAATAATGCTCACATAAATATATATTTTTAGATTATTATCGTTTGTCTCTCCAAGTTGGCGCTTACATGAGAAGTTAGAACCTGTTATAATAGAGGTCGAATTAGCAGCTGTGCGTCTACGCACGGCTTTACATGATCTCACTGAATTTGGTGAAGGTGCTCTGGGTAATGCTACTCGTTCTGAGGATCGTAACTTAGCTCTAAAACTGCGACCACTAGTAAGAGCGCTACGAGATGCAAACAAATTAGTACACGAATCGACTGATGCTGTCGTTGCACAAGGTGGTTGGACAATTGACAACTTAGCACGCAATGATGAGAAATCAATTTCTAGACCACCGGATAGTCTCGATCAATTAATTGCATGTGCACAAACTTTAACTGAAGATGTACGCCAAACCACATCCTTCATACAAGGTAACGCTTCACTGCTTTTCAAACGCAATATTCCTCAAGCTGTCGACACCATTGATGGTAGCTGCACACCCACAACAAATACCAATAAGACAAATAGTGGGGAATGGTTGGAAGATTATGATTATGTCTCTTTTGAATCAAAGGATGCAGCGGCTAAAAAGAATTCAGAACTACGTGAAGTTATAGCACCAAATTTAAAGAAAAATTTCGATACAGTTATTAAGGCAGCCGAAGTAAATGCTATGGCGGCAGCAACAAATTCTTTGCCAAATAGCAAAAAAGACGAACTAACTGATAAAGATAAGATGTTAGTACGTTATTATGCCGTGCAGATCTCCACACATATGGGTAATTTGCGACAAGCGATTGATTCATTTCTGGAAACAGTAGAAAAAAATCAACCACCAAAATTCTTTATAGCCTATGGAAAATTTGTCGTTTTTAGTGCACATAACTTGGTGACCATTGGTGACATCGTAACGCGGAATGTCTCTAAAGTGGAGTTACGTGATAAAATACATCGTTGTACAAATGCGCTATGCGATGCACTGAAGATTTGTGTCAATAAATCGAAGAAAGCTGCTGCACATTTTCCAAGTGTTACGGCGGTACAAGAAATGGTGGATTCTGTAGTGGACATCAGTCATTTAGCAGCTGATCTAAAAACAGCAATGTTACATACAGTATCTCTGACTGTTTAAAACCAAAGTACTATTGTATGAGCCAGGTAATAATGCGAAGAGGAAAGGAAAAGAGCAAGAGGCAATAAATATGCCAAATATAGGCTAAGCGCTTAATTGTACTCGGATATAGGAAAAGATTTTATTTTAACATGGGCTTCAAAAGTCTTCCATGCAAAATTGATAAGTATTCAGAAACAAAAGATTTTGTAGTTTTTTAATTGACTGCTTGATATAAAACTTAATAAGCTGCAACGAAATATATTAAAACTGCAAACTTTTCCTTAAACTAAAAACAAAGAAAAAACCAACCTAAACTAAAACAACTCTAAAATATGAATTTTGTACTTTTTTATAATTAAATCAAGAAAAAAACTGGATCCAGGATGATAATCATCTTGTCAACACAGAATATTTTAACCGCATTAACGATTTCTCCAACCATTACGGTGCGCAGCGATCTATCAAATTAATAACAAAATTATAGTCCAAGATGAGAGAGTTACGTTTAAACCACACACACATTAGTTTTTAAGTTTAAGTTTATTTTGATTGTATATTATAATATATTTTTAAATAATTTTAAATGTGATAAATTAAGCAGATATCATTTTATGTATATATTTTTTGCAAACTTAAGTTATTAATTATTTTATTTAATGTATATATAATAAATTTGATTGTACGTACTCTACTTATACATAATACTAATTATTTATACATCAATATTACTAGTTATATTTACGATATACAAAAATTGAGTTTTGAAAGGAATCGTGTCCAGCAAAAATTTGAATAATATTACTACATAAGTTACAAATATCACCGAGTATTTGTACATAACTTTAGCAATTTTTATATGAGTGACACTTTTAATGAAAGTACTTAATAAGAAGTTGTTCACACGAAGACTTCAAAATATAATAGAATATCCCCTTCTATATTTTCACTCCATATTAACTGCTTAGAATAAACAACTTATGCGCGTCTTAGTGTTTATAATATATATACAGCAACTATTATATACATTACAATTATACATATGCAAGTAGACATAGTCAAATCTTAAAGATTATTATTAAATTATTTGATAATATTATTTTAAAACATGTATAATTTTTTATGTCGTAAGTCAAACGTTTATATTTAATCTGAAACGTGCATATAATAAACAGAAACTAAAGATTTATTAAATTAATTTTTTCATTTTTTAACACAAATAGCTTAATTACTCTGGAAAAGTCTCTTTCAGAAAGCAATGGATGAAAAACTGTATGAGAAAACTGAAACAATCAGCTATATATATATACTGTTTGTAAACACTTTTTTCCGGAAAACAATTGAAAAAAACCTTATGATAAAACGAAAACAGTCAGTTTTATATATTTTGTAAGTAAAATCATATTCACACAATCAAAGTTAATCGCACTACGCAAATCTAGATTAAATCAGCATTTATACGAAAGTTTAGCTGATTGTAAATCACTAATACGTTGGGATATAAATGCACATAATTTCCATTTTCATTTATATTATCACATATTTCAGTACTAGTTAAAAAAGACTTTAGTGTTCATTTGTGTAAAAATTTTAATTACAATACATACGCAGTCATTTAAAAAAAAAGCCAGCAGTAAAATATAAGACTTCTATTCGTTTATTTAGTTATATAGTTTACTGATTCTACATGTTTAATACTGTTTTCAAATCCATTTTATATTATATATCCTGATGAAAACACCATTAAGCAAATATTCTTATGGATTCAAAAGAGTAAAGAGTTTTACTATTATCACAATTATAATTAAATTATAATATATATATTTCAGTGAAACTTATAGTCAAAACGCAATTTTTGAGCATTTAAGGTAAAAACTCCTCTTTAATCATTCCAAAATATCTCACTCAAAATGTCTACCTACCTAAAATTATTGTTTATTGTTTAACAAACTAGAAAATAAAATGATACACGGCAAATTTTTAATATATTATCCATGAACAAGGTAACGAGTATCGGTATGTACCTATTAGTTTCTAAGGTGTTAGCTATCTTCCTATCAGTTTTTTAAGTATTAACACTTTGTTTAAGGACCTAACAGGCAACTAATTGAAATTATATTTAATTTAAATTATGACAAAATTAGTAAAGACAATAGTTTAATAATAATAGGCTTTTTCGAACATAGAAATACTTTGTTATAATTCTATGTTATTCGGTTAGCAATATGAAAAATTAAAAAATTACTTAGATTTTAATGCTTAATTCGAACAAGTAAATATATTTCGTTCTATTAGAAATTTATAGAGTATATTTCAAAATATTTCTATTACTTAAAAGATTTTTCTTTATAAATATAATATGTGTTACCATAATACGCAGCTAGTTGAAATTATATTTAACTTAAATTAAGACAAAATCAGTATAAACAAGAATAATAGTTTTCATGATTTCTTCAAACATAGAAATACTTTTGTTCTAATTCTATGTTTTTGGGCCACTTTGCGATATAAAAAATTAAAAAACTACTATGGATTTTAATGCTTAATTCGAATAAGTAAATATATAAGTAAGTATATATATTTAAGAATTTATAGAGGTTATTTTAAAATATTTATATTATTTAAAGATTTTTCTTTTTAAATATAATATGTCTTAAAATAGTTATAGTTAAATATTTTTTATGTATAAAAATATTCCCTTCGCCTAATATTAAAATTTGGTTATAAATAAACGATTTGCAGTGTTACTTTCGCTTTAATTATAAAAAAAAAAATGAATTAGTTCGGCACACTTATTAATAACATTTTAAACGGATTGCATTTAGTCGCTTTCGGGCATAATTGCAGTTAATTGGAGACGTTGAGCTTAGATTTTATTTGATTGCTCCGACAGAAAAACTCATAAGATGGCCGCTTCACACAAGAAAAAAAAACATAGTCTTGAATTTTGCCCTTGGCAATCAAAATTGTAAGCACATAAATAAAAATGCAAAAATGTGCATTACATTTTTTTTGCTTCTTCTTTATTTTTGTAGAAGAGATGTGAATCAGCGATTTGGTTACCTATTGGAAAAAGGGAAATTTGGCGACTGTGTCGTTATAGCCGGCAGACATAAAGAAAGATTCCTCTGCCATAAGTTGATTTTAGCAATAGTATCACCAAAGTTCGAAACGATATTCTATGAGGATGGATTAAGCGAAGTAGAATATGAAGATGTCAATGCAGATGTATTCAGATATGCTCTACAGCATATATATATGCAAGATGAAGTTAAGACGCCGTTTCCTTATGCCCTTGCGGGTAAATTATTCTACATGGCAATGAAATTTAAAATGGAATTCTTGCGTGTAACACTTATTCGTATTTTAAGTAATGCTCCATGGCCAGTGGAACACGTTCTAACCATTTATAATTCAGTTAAAGTTTACAGTGAAAGCCTTATGCTTTCACTCTCCATAGATGTAAGTGCACCAATGCATTTAAGGTTTATGACAAATTTAACAATTTCCCTTCCAGCATATTCAAAATTACAAACTCGACTTTTTATTTCATTCAACGGTGTACAAGCAGGAAGCGGTAGTATTCAAATGCGTTATTCAGGCACTTCAACGTAGAGTGGCAGAAATTCATATATTTCAAGCGATCGAACGTTATTGTTTAGAAAATAATTTGTTCGAGGAAGAATTGGAAATAGAAGAAGGACCAGAAGGAATTGCTGACCCTGACGTAAATGTAGTCGTAAAACCTGAAGAAATATCACCAAGCACCAGCTTTATATTAAATATAAGCGGACCAGAACTATGTGGCTCAAATACGTTTCAAAATCGTAAAGCTTTAGTTAAAGATCTCTGTGACCTAATCAATTTTCGTGGAATGACTCCAACGGAATTTGCTGCTGGACCAGCCACATCCAAACTTCTGTCTCCTGAAGAAAGTTTCTCCATATTAATAAGCCTTTGTAAAGAACACAACTGTAAGGATATCAATACGATTTTTAATTTTAGTGGCGCATCTATGACCTAGTACAATGTTAGGAGTATATTCAGTGCCCATTTTTTACATTAAACACACATCATATTTGTTTATAATGAAAATTTGTCACATATATATAGTTTTTTTATGTCTTACATTTATTTATTTACATCATTGTTTCGTTAAAATATAAATCAATTAATTCATGTTTGTGGTTAGTAATAAGAACTAATAATAATTTTAATACATTAATAAATTTTAATAGGGAATATTATAAGTATACAACAAATATTTTTATATGTTTTGGAAGGCTAATATAGCCCACTATTAAAAAAGATTATAAAACTATTCACAAAATTTTTTTAATTGTTTTAAAAACCCACTATTTGGTTGCACACATGCACGTTTCCCTTTAACATATGCGTAGGCATCGTCAAATTTCATTTGGCAATGTTTTATTAAATATGCTATAACCACACTCGCTGAACGTGACACACCAGCATTGCAATGTACCAACACAATACCATTAGTTACTTTCGCATCTTTTATGTACGTAAAAGCGTCTTGCATTAATCCAGCAAAGAGATCCGTTTCAGGCAAATCCAAACAAGGCAAAAATTTTGTATGTAAATTGTCATTCATATTTTCTATAATGGGCATTTCAATGCCAATACTTAGTATATGCGTAAATTTAAACTTATTAATATTTTCAAGTGAAACAGCATCCTGTGAACCAAGATAAAGCAGATTTTCGATTATACAAGCAGGTTCCGTATCTGGTTTCGTATCCACAATGAAACCATATTTATTACTTTCAAGTTTAATTGGTGGGAGCGTTGAGTTTTTGCTTTCAACATAACGTTCACCAGTGGTTGTGGTTACAATTGTTGTTGATCTTTGCAAACTTTTACGTTTTTGTTGTATTTCCTGAAGGAAGCTCATGTTCTTTATCGTTTTCTTGAGCTTCTATATATTTATCCTTTTCATTATAATGAATTTTGCTTAAATATAAACCATAAGCTGGTGCGAGAGTAATACGTGAATCCCAGCTATGCTTTGAAGGTATAGTAAGCATTTCATATATACTTTTTTCATCAATACGCCCTACTCCTATTGCTACGAGTGCACCCACAATACGGCGTACCTAAAATATAAAGTAAAGTTTAATGGAGACTACAATTGAGTATTAATTCTGTAAAAAAATATATAATATATAATTTTATTTACCTGTTTATAAAGAAAAGATTTCCCTTTGATTTCTATATCCCAAAAGTCATATAAATCCTGTGCTAATGCAGTGTTTACACCAATAGCTAACGTTTTCCCTGGTTTTATGCTAATTTTCTCTATCCGACGTACCGTGAATCGGGGATGTCTAAAGGAAGGGTTGTCATCCCTGTTCGTACTTGTAAAAGTGCGAAAATCATGCATTCCCTCGAACATTCGGGCTACAGAGCGACATCTTTCAATATCAAATGGGTACTTTCTAAGTATAAATTACTTTATTTACTATTACATTTTAAAAATTCAAGATGTACATACTGAATAAAATAACAACGATCGATTTCTTCAATGGGTATAAATTCTTCAAAGGCTCGATTATCTATACAATTACTATCATCCGATTTTTTTCGTAACACTGCAATACGATAAAGATAAGTGCGACCTAATGCATTATAGCGGCAGTGAAATGTATCTGGAACCCTTTCAGTTTTTATAACTCTTATTTGCAGCTTTTGTTTATGCAATGTACGATTCAATACACCTGTTATGGTCGTTGGATCGTAGGTCTTTGTACCATATTTTTGTAAATCAACATGTAAAGTTGAGTGAAGTGCATGGACACCTTTGTCTGTACTTTAATTAAATATTATGATTTTATTTAGTTATTAATATATGCAATATAATTTAACTTACCGGCTTGACAAAACTGTTTCAACCTTATTTGCGGGTCGCAGCACGTTAAGTGCTAAATCAATGCATCCTTGTACGCTTTTTACGTCAACTAATTGCTCCTCTGCTCTATTGATTGTTTTCTGTATTCCACTATTAATTGTTTTTGCGATAAATAATATGTAAGGGTAAAAAATAAATTAAAACAAGCTTACCGAAAATTTGTACCAATATATGAAATATTAAGTAGGAATCTCTGCATTATGAAAATGTGCTCTTTACGTAAACAGAGAGTAAATATCACAGCTGATGATATGGCTTACCAGTTTTCGCGATAAGAATTTGTCAAAATAACAATTTGTGTAATTGAGTATCTCATATTCAATTACACACAAACAATAACACAAGTAATTTTATATATAAACATGTTTTTAAATCAATTTTCTTATTATTTTCAAATTAATTTTAAAGCATAAAACTAATTTTAAAATATAAATACACAAATATTAAAATTTCTTTTAGCCCCAGTACACACGTGAAAAGGCGACAGTATGCTTCTGGCCAAAGTATAAAAGTATTATTTGTTTCTGGCTTCTGATTGGTACGTACATATGTAACAGAAAGAAAGTGGATACGTTTTGCGCACTTTTGTATACACTGTTTTCTCTGTTTGTAACAAATATATAAAATAAGTTTTAACAATTTATTTATATGTAAAATATTCTTCGCAAATATTAGATTTGCTCCACGAGCTACTCGTAGTAAAACTCGTGTAAAATACAAGTACAGTACAAACTAAGAGCATAGCACAAATAAAATGCCAGATTACTTTCTTTATTCAAATTTTCATGGAACAGATTTGTGTAAAGTTTGGTAAGAACAGCTGTTTTCAAAAAATAAGAGCGCAAAATAAATTTTGAAAAATAAGAAAGTTTTATAACAACAAGCAGCAACAACATTATAAAAATGTTGAACAAATATTGCAGCAAAGCAACGAAAGACTAATGAATATTAAACAAAATAAACTAAAGACGTTGGACAAAATTTTAAAAAAGTATTTATATTTATATTATATGATATATAAGAAAATGTAACGATTATTGTCCTTTTCAGATCAAAATAAATAAATATATTATTATTATAAGGATAAATCAAGTTAAAACATATTTAGTTTTAATTTTTATAACTTGAAAATATTATAGTTTTAAGAATATGTTAAGTTTGAATTAACTATTTATATAGATAATGTAATTTTATAGCTAATTTAAGTTAGAATTAGGTTCCTTGTTTTAATATTTATGAAATAAATTAATGATATATAAACTGTATTCAATGACAGTTAATTTCTGTTTGTGATTTATTACAAATTAAATCTCTTACAATGCCACGCGAATAAACAATAAAAAAATTTAAATTCAAACCAAGACAGCTGATTCATACAACACAAATTTTACTTGAAATAAAATTTTCGAGTAATGTTTATGTAGCATTTTCAAATTTCGACCGAGATGTTATACCCACTCAGATGCTCTCATTAACTCGAAAATTTGCTGGTGGAGCGCTCTTGTGTCTACACAGTGTTACTCAAAGCTACTACAAGTTGCTCGTGGAAAAGACCTATTGTATATAAGGCATTTATTCATGGCATTAAAATTATTTATCAATAACATATGTTAACGCAGTTGGCTTAAATTTTTGATTAAAAAAATTATTTATTCATTTATAATTTCAAATTGTACACTTTACAACTATTAATAGTTTGAAGCAAATATATTTTATTATCGTAACATTGTTTCTGAATCGTAATATTAGTTGGACACGTTATTCTTGTCAAAAGTTTTTAAATTTTTTTGTATACAACACTGCGAATTTTGTTTTTGACAAATCGAAGAGACTTTTTGACGTGCCTTTTATCACGGAGAATTTGTGCGATTTGCAAAACATTGACCGGTACGGTTTTGTAGTGACTAGCATTGGTGAAGGAGGTTTTCTTAGGAAGAGTGGTGTAATTAAATAATATCAAGATGTTAGCACCGCCCGGGGCACATTCTAATATACATGGCAATGACTTAGCTGATGAAAAAGAGGTAAATGAATGGACTCGTTTTGGATTTCGCATTGCTGTTGGTGCGGCGCTACATCCTTTTGAATATGCTAAAGTCTTGGCTCAACTTGGTTATGAACCAATTGCTCCGCGCCCTGGAAAGTCCCTGCTTGGCAAAGATATATTAGTTTTGCCAAATATGTTTCAATATGGTATGATATAAAAGTAAATAGTGTTTACATAATAATTTAATATATACACATTTAAGTGGGTTATATACGAAGAATGGACGGTTTCTATGGAATGTATCGTGGACTTTCTCCAAAAATATTTGGCAATCTACTTGCATTTGTTTGCAGTGAAAAAGTAATTACAGCTTTTAAATTACCTACAGCTGAAGAATGTAAATTGAAGGATGATGTTGACTTAAGTGATGAGGAGCTGTAAGTATTTGATTATGGTAATGTCTTAAAATCTAATTTTTTAATTAAACTTATACATCTTTAAAGGTATTTACAATTTAAATTAAATTTAAAACGCGATTTAGTAATTAGTATGACAAGCATTATTGTATGCCAACCCTTTCACGTGATTTCCCTACGAATGATGGCACAGTTCATTGGTGGAGAAAAAATATATCAATCTATAGTTGGTTCCATTATTGAAATTTACAAATATGAGGGTATTAGTGGATTCTTTAGTGGTTTACTTCCAAAATTGATAGGTGATGTAGCCAGCCTTATATTGACAAGTACCACCGTATTTATGCTTAATAAATACTTAATAAAAGATAAAGTTGGTAGACATTATAATTCTGGACTTACACAGGTATTTATATATTATTAAATCTCTGTTAACTACTTTTTTTTAACAAACTCTCAAACAGTTTGCCATTGCCAGTATGTTGTATCCTTTCCAAGTTGTTGCTAGTTGTATGTGTGTAACTGGCTCCCGTCTTATGGCCGCAAGTCCACCGATGATGCCGATGTACAGAAATTCAATTGATTGTTGGAACCATTTATCATCACTGGGTGAACTTAAGCGTGGTAATGCTTTCTTTTTGCGGTAAGAAATAATTCAAGTTTTCTATAAAAACCAAGTTAAAACTTATATACCATATATTACCATATATATTACCTATATGATTTTTGTTTATACACTTCTATATATTATAAGAACAAACAAAGATAAAATAAATTAAACACGATTAGTCATCACTTCTAATTTGACAGGTACGAGTTCAGTCTGACACTTGCAGTCCAAACAAATTATATACGGGCTGTAACTAATTAAAATTCGAATATTTCCAGCGTTTCCAGAAACAGCGTTGTACGGTCTGCCAAAAAAAATTAACTTTATTCTTGTGCTCTTCTTTACTATAATTTATCACATTTTAGCGAAATATTTGAGCTGCTGAAAAGTGCGTGCACTATTAGGTCCATTTAAATTAATTGATGACGATAGATTCTCTCATCGATCAGTATTTGACCGACTTAGTGAAAATCTCATTTAGCAACCACTTTCTATAACTGATTGGTACCGTGCGTCCTTTATCTTTCCGAAAAAGTGTACTTAATAATGAATATAAAATATTTTAGTGGGCATAAAAATCATGAAAAAGGCTTGTATCTACACTCTATAGGACTGTTATTTCAGGCATAATAATTGCGCTTTTGTTCATTTAAACATCTTCATATTTTGACATTACATTGCTGAAGTGTGTATTTCTTTCTGTATCTTTTTTTAAAAAAAGTTTTGCTTATTATGAAACATAAGTTAGATATATATATGTATATAAAGTTATAAATTTATATTATATTATACATTTCTATAAACTCGTTAAATTTAAGGCAAAATAATATATTTGAACTTTGATAAATAATGCGGTCTACTTATACTTTTTTTAATCTTGAAAAGATAACATAATTGTATTTACTCCTTTTTTTTTTTTTTAATTTTATCAAAACTTTAAGCTTTATATTGCATTTGTTTTTTATATATTTTTCAATGTAAAAAAATATTAACATGAATTTTTATTGTGTGCATTTGATAATTTTACAACTTCTAGGTTGTAAAAACTGGTATAATCATGATGTATTTGGTACATCAATTTGAAACACTATCAATCTAGTTAGGTTAGGTTAGGTTATGCTGGCAGGCCAAAAAGGTTACACATAGACCATTAAATTCCATTGCGATATTAGATCAGAATCTCTTGTTACTAACGATAGTACGCATCACTCAGGATGCGTGGTTATTAGCTAATTATCAATCTAGTTACTATTATTGTATTATTATTCGTAATTTCCATTGGGTTAAAACAACAACAACTCCTCTTAATTATCTCCAGAGAAACACAAACCGGTACTCTTGGAGAAATATCCGTAGAAGGTTTTACATTCTCTTTAATGTCCCAGTAACCGGTAACTCAGCTTTTCGATTAAGCCTTCCGATTTGTGCCCTACATTCTGTGAATAGTGTATTAATGTTTGCATTTAGAGAGTTTCGAATAGCAAAGAGAGAAAGGACAAACACAAAAATTTAGTTAATTTATTAAAATTTGGCTGACCATACAACGCTGTTTCTAATATTACCAAGTACTCATCATCAGTGGTCTTAAGAAATATTCGAATTTAGTCCGTATATAACTTGTTTGGACTGCAAGTGTCAGGCTTAGAACTCGCGCCTGTCAAATTAGAAGCGATGTCTAAACGTGTTTTTCCACAAGTAGACAAGGCTGTACAAACTTTCCGTGCTTAAGGTTGCAGGTTTTTTGACACTTTTTTATTTAATTAGTGACATTAACCATTAATATAATATGGGTATTTAAAAAATATGGATATTTATTAGAATAAGTGACAACTGTGAATGTTAGTATAGATGTCTATATATTTTAACTGTCAATTTATTGTATTGTCTATAATTCACTATATGTACTTTATATATTCTTTCAAACGGTTTTTAAATGTATATTTCTGTTGTTATTTATTGCAGGTATGTGCCTGGACCTAGGAAGAATAATTACATTAGCCAAACTAATTATTCAATTATGCCACCATTAAGTAAGAAGCAATAGATCACTACAAAATTCGTTACAAAGAGTTCAAAAACTATTTCATGAAGTTTACAATCAGAAGACAATGCATTTGGAAAAACAACAACAACAAACATTTTAAAAAAAAAAACAACGCATTTATTTCTAATAATTAAAAAATTATTTCATCTGTATCAGTAAAAGAGATTTTTGAAATAAAAAACATTTTAACTCATATATTTTAGATCAGTGTTAGTATATTTTTCTTTTTTTTTGTATTTTTTTGTATTTAATATTTTAAAATGTGTTCCGTTGTATGCTCAACTTAACTTCTTCTCATACTCAAAATGTTTTAAAAACTCAAAATATTTCCAAAAATATTGAAATCAGAGGAAAATTCTTTAGTTTTCCGTTATGTATTCAGTATGCATTGTCTGTGGCTCTTGAACAGATCGCGGAGAATTTTAGATTTTCATATATACCATCCGACTAAACTATTTCGAAAAGTTCTTAAAAAGTAAAAGCAAAATAAAAGTGGAATTTTAAAATATTGTAAATTAATTAATAATAAATAGCACAAATCTAATTTATGGAACAAAAATTTTAATATATTTTTTTTTCTTTACGAGTACATAATAAATAAAAAAAAGAAATATTACTTTGAAAAATTAGCTCTTGTATGTATCAAGAAAATAAATCATGCAATGCTTCTTAGTCCGTGTGTGTTTTCCTAAAATAATTTTATGGAGATACTTTTAAAAATAGCCAAACCAAAAAAAAAAAAAATAAATAAACAAGAAAACTCAACAGATTTTAGTATGTGCACATATGTACGCGGCTTAGTACATGTATTAAATATTATTAAAAATTAAATAAAAATAATATATGAAAATACACACAATAATTTGGATAAGATTTTTAAACAAATGATTTATGCTTTCTTTAAAAAGCTAATTTTTATAAAATCGGTTCGGATTAACGATTAACGGCGCCCGTCTTTGTCGAAAATGTCTAACAGGCGCGCGCAATCGATGCCAGCACAAATGCTAGACCAGAAGCCAACGCGTGGCAGGTGTGTAGCTGCCATATGTTTCTCGTGGAAGATAATCACTTGTATTGTTTCGCACGTGACTTTGGTGTTATTGGTTGTTTCGTATTGCGTTGGTGGTGCCTATTTGTTTCGACATTTAGAGAAACCACATGAAATAGAGGTGAGTAAAAAGTCTCGCAATGCGGGTCTCATTACGATTCTTTATTATTAGGTTCATGTTTAAATAGTTTAACCAGCTGTGATGTTTCTATTGATTTTGAGTAAATTGTTGAAATTTCCTTTTTGTAAAATTTATTGATCGAATTGTTAAAATATATAAATTATATTTTTTTTAGTAGATTAGTAAAAATTTATCAACTAGTTGTTTATTTGTGTGACCCCTTTAGAGGTTCTGGTCTCATTGCACACACTGATTTAAGCCTAATCGACCTTTGGACTCATCCCCTTGAGGTAGCTAGATTTCTACGGCTGAACCATTGGTTGATTTCAATTGTATCCTCACCCCCTTTCCCATTATCCCCTTAACTCTAACCCCACCCATTCACTTTCCTACCCTTGTATTCGTCTGGTAATCCTTACATATTATCTATGTAAGGTTTTCAGATCCCGGCGGGCTACAACAACAACGAGTTGTTTGTTTTATTTATGTTATGATCTTGAGTTTTTAATTATACGGTAACAGAATGAACCTATAGGCCTAAGTGGATCCCTTGGGATCGCTAGTATAACCTAACCTAATCTGTGTTATGATAGTAAGTAAATCGGCTTAACACTTATGAGGTGCATAAATACTGCGAAACATTGGTTGAGGGTAAATTAAAATAATTTAAAACAAATTTGTTTTATTTTATATAATATTTTATTTTTTATAAGAATAAAATAGCAAATAAAAATAAATAAAAATTTTTCTTCGTAATATAATGTACCAATAGCCTTTTATTTAAAATATGGCACCAAATAGTTTACCAAATCCAACTTTTCTTATATGTCTCGTAAAGTTTCTTACATTTTGCTTGATACTTAATAATAATATTGTTTACATATAAACTATTCAAATAATATTTAATTACCATCTAACAGTAATTGTTTTAAAAATTAAACTAATAGTAGCATTTTATTTAATTTTTTATCTTATGGATTGAAACATAATTTATCCGTAAGAAGAGAACAACTCATTTAACGAATGTTTTGTTTTCTAAAAGAGCTTCTAAAATAACAATAATATAGCAGACTATATTAGCCCTACGTAAAATAAATGATTTCAGGAACGTTCAAATCTTCACTTACTCGTCTATAAAATATCGCTTGCCCTTTTTACAAAAACAATATTTTCTTTGCAGCAGGAACTGTCAGTATTCAAATTTGGTGACTATATAACCACAGTGACTTGTGTTACATAGATATAAATATATTAATTCCTAATTTATATCCCTATTGCAGATATACAGATCATGACATCGCTTATTTTTATATCAAAATGCCCACAATAATTTGAGTGCTATTAACTTATGGTTCTCTCCAAAAAAAGTGTCTAGGTTCTCTGTCCAGGCAAGTTTTAATTACAACTCATCTACAAAACTCTATTTTCACCCATAACCCCCATCCTAACTTATGTATTCGTCTTGTAATTCAATTATGTTTCTTGCTCTTATGGTCCACGCGGGTTAAATTAACAGTAACAGCAAGTCTAGTAGATTTACTATTTAGTCGTATCTACTCACTTACTATTTGATCTTATTGTATTGTTGGTATTGCTACATAGTAGGTTGCCATAGTAATTTTAGATGAAAATTCTAACAGTTTGTTAAATAAATTTGCAAACATATCAACTAAACTGCGAAACTAAAGAATTTAATTAAGTGTTGTAATGTCTTCACATCTGATAACTTATTTATTTGGACCAGAAGGTTCTAATTAGGAGAAATTTGATTTAAAAAACGTAGGGAGTTTTATATCAAAGTCCATGTCTTTGGTTAAAAACTTTATGATATTAAAAAACTTCCCTATAGCAAATCTGCCTTGGATCATAAATTTCCTTATACTCGTATATACACACCAATTTTATAAGGTGATAATTCAACCTATAATTGCCATATCAGTTTTCTTGAAAGTATTCTCAACTGTTGTTTCTTTTTTTTGATTTTTTACAACCCTAAATACGTTTTAGTTTGAAACATTTTCTTATAAACGATCTTAATTGTAATTGATTTGGTAAATTATTTCAGTATACTTTTCTCTGTTTTTATTCTGCCTTTTTAGTTATACTCTATAAAGTACGATAAAAAGTTAAGTAATAATAGAGAGAGGTTCGAATAGTTTTCCCTATTTCGTGTCATATATCTAAGCTCGTTAAACGATTTGGATGTTTCGGTGAATAATATTTGCCTCCATGTTGTCTTTCGACGTCCTCTTCCTCTTGCTCCAATTGGGTTCTATTCTAAGGTTGAATAAATTATGCTTTCTTAGAGTATAATTATAGTAAATATGACACTTATTAAGACCTTAACAACGAAAAAAGAAAAAAATCGACTTTGTTATTTGTTGAAATATAAGATATATAAGATGTATATATATAAGATTAAAATATAAGATGTCCATATTCTTAATGAATACGATTTTTTATTAGTAGGTATTTATAGGCCTTCTATTAAAAATAGATACTTCACTGATATTTTGTCAAAACTTCATAACATTTAGACAGTAAGGAAGGAATTTATTTTAAAAAGTCCTGCTGACATTGAACTCTACTTTATACATCTTATTGGTATATATATTTTATAATTGACTTTTATATGAATCTAAAATGTTTTAATGAAAAGAATTTGATATTCTAGTAATAAACTTGATATTAATATGTATATTCTATATAATATACTTCAAATATACCATATATTATCTGTTATAAAAAGATATAGTTATAATAATATTTCAATATCTTTATTATTTATCATATTAATATAGATAAAATAAAAGACAATATAATCTCGATATTATATACATATCTACCGATATATATATATCTCGAGCGCCATAATCAATTTTTTACCATAGCAGTGCGAATGATAGCAGTTATAAAATGTTTGATTAAATTTCTTTAATTTGATTAAAATTTTAAATAAATTAAAATGAGGTAATAATAATATTACTATAAACTAAAAATTCATGGCTAAGTATCTAGGTTAAGAAAAATGAAGTTTAATCTCTTTAATTATATAGAAATTTGATTCTATAAAAACAGGCACGTGTGTATTATAATCAACCCACATCGTTGATGAAAGGAAGTATTTGACTTTGACAGAGTTAGAGTTCTATGCTTTTTTGCCCTAAGAATAATGAAGTACCTCTCATACCTCGACTAGCTGTGCCCCTAATGTTTCCACTTTCCACTGCAGATTATTAAAAGTTTTTATCCCAAAATGATAAATAAATACTTACTGAAAGTTAACTGGCTGCTTATATAAAAATTTTATTTAAAAAATTAACTAATCACCTCAATTTTTTTTTTGAATCGAGGAAAAGGATGGCTTTCCTCGTCATCAACGACTGCTAAAAATGTGGTTTTTGTGTTTAAATAATTCGAAAGAGGGATTTTATGAAAACTGGTTCTGCAAGTGCTTTCATTTTTTAAATAAACTATATGGTTTTAATGGTTAATGGTTATGGTTTTAATTTAGATACCTATTATAATTGTAATATTGCATATTTATTTATAGACTTAACATCATATCCCATAACTTTTAATGCTTTTCTATAGGTTAAAAAGGGCATCGAAAGTATGCGGTACTCACTAACAGATAAAATATGGAAATTCTCCGAGAATGCATCTGTATTGTCTGAATTGGATTGGATAAATAATGTTAAAATAGATTTAGCAAACTTTGAAAAGCAGATACTTACGGCAATGAAGACCGATGGTTGGGATGGTGATGAAGATGTAACTAAATCGCAATGGACTTTTGCTGGATCTTTATTTTACTCAATTATTGTAATAACAACAATCGGTGGGTGTAATTAAAAAAAATGCAAAAAATAATGTTAATAAAATCTGACCCTTTGTAACTATATAATTAACACTAAATTAGTTATATTCATACTCCATAATTTATTAAACATAGCAAGGTAATATAACGATATAATAATGCTTAAGCGCTTTCTTCGAAGTGCTTGATATTAGGTCTTAGTTTTGGACTATATATGAGTTTAAATAACCATCATTGAGTTCTACATATGCTGCAGTTATCAGACTATAAAACCAAAAAATCGTTATATCATTTAAAAATATGAAGTTACGGAGTTACACTAAAATAGAGTATAACATATGTAATTATTTACGCTGTGAGGAAGGCTCAGTATTAGTTTGTACTAGAAAAAAATGTAATGGTGGATTAATACTCATGACAGTGCCCTTTTGTTTAGCACTACAAAATAAATTAAAAACAGAACAAGCTAATAATAATAATTAATTATTTTTTATAATATATATTAACTTTGTTTAACAGTTGTAAAGTTTTAAAATTCCAGTCAATTGGTATATAGTAGTTGTAGGACAAAGACACCATGGAAAAGTTCATGTAATTATATTTATTCCTTTAAAGATTTAGAGATAAAAAAAAAAGAATTAAAAAATTTTTTAATTTTGAAAAATCGAAAAAGATCGAAAATTATGAGCACTTTAACCTAAGGTCTAGAATATGTATTTGTTTTCTCTTAGTGTATGGTATATGTAAACTTTTTTAACACATTTAAAGTTAAATATAACAATCTTTAAAAACTTACTTTGCAAAAATTTAAGGTTATGGACATATATCCCCTCGAACGGATTGGGGAAAAGTTACGACAATATTTTACGCTATTGTTGGTATACCATTAATGTTACTTTGTCTGTCTAATATTGGAGATGTATTGGCTACATCATTCAGGTATCTCATCAATAGTTTTTAATTTCCTCGTACCAAAAGAAATTGTCAATTTCTAGATTTATATATTGGCGAATATGTTGTTATGTCTGTACTCGACGACCTCGTCGTCCAAGAAACCGTTCAGTTCGCGGACATCGTTATTCATCTCGATCACAACCACCCCCCATGCGACGTTCAATGAGACTTACACAGCGTTCTGCAAATGATTCGGGTGTAGGCGCTTCGATTGGTTTAGCACATGCACATTCCGATCCTGAGCTTGCATTTGCAGGACGTAATGATGAACACGATATCGAGTATGGTCAACGATTCCATAGCAGTCATAGACGTCGACAGCCTCACTATGCACCCATCACGCGCATGAGTGTCAGACATAAGTCACCCTACAATGATGAACCATATTTTGATCGAAATCCACATGAAACCCAAACATTAAATCGTAGTTCTCGTTTCAGTAGTCGTCAACGTAATCGTGATCGTATGCGTGATCGTCATACTGTTGAGCGCGAACGTAACATAAGTCGATCAAAACAACAATTATACTCAATGGATGATATTAATTTACCACCACCCACCGCAAAACGTGCACAAAGCGTACGTTCAGTAAGATCGCCAAATTCGCGACAAGAAGAAATCGTACGAGAATCAAGAGAACGCGAATTAAATCGTTTGAATACTAATAGTATGCCACGTGGTCGTTCTGTACCCAATTCTGGACGAGGTCGTGCCAAATCAGTAGATCCACGTGCGTCTTCACGCTTTGAACAAATCGACGAGGACATAGTGCGTAAAACTCCAATTATATCGAATCGTTATGCCATTGATGAACTAGAACATCATCAAAAACATAACAAGAACAATTTACGCAGTCAATCTATGCCGCGTTCTGCACATCAAAAACATAATTTTGATAACCATGATCCACCAAATGGTGGTGTAAGAAATCAAAATCAAAATCAGAATCATCATCAACACTCACAGCACCGTCATCATTCACCTTATCCAAATCAACAGCGACGTCATAGTCTCGGCCGTCAAAATTCAGGACAACATTCACGCTATGGAAATCATTTAGAATTACCGGAACTTTCAGCACCGCACAATAACAGAAATAGACGTGAACGCTCTCCTCGTTATGGAGACTACGTAGAAGAAGAGTACGATAGATCATTCACTGACGAATATGATGTGGAATGTGGTTACGGTGATTATGATGACTATCCTTCAGCGCCCAAACGTAATAGTAGAGATCGTAAGCCACGACGTGAAAGAGCAGGTAAAAAAATTATTTTCTTCTAAATGGAAAATTGTTTAAACGAACTATTAATAATTTTATATATATTGTAATTATTAATATAAATTTTTAAAGTCATTTGTTAATCACTTTTCAGAAAGATTAGCTCCGCGCATTATGTCTCCAATGGGTTTTGCAGTAGCACGACAGGTACGTAGACGTCCAAGTTACGACTATGATGATGATTCGATGTATGGAGACGATGCGAGCGATTATTACTATGGTGATGTTTCACCAAAAGACCGTCCTGTGCCAATTTGGCTTTGCGTTTTTCTTGTTATTAGTTATATACTAGGAGGAGCTTCACTATTTGCACATTGGGAAAAATGGTCTTATTTGGATTCAGCGTATTTCTGTTTTATTACATTGACCACAATCGGTAAGTAGTAATTAAATGGTTTCTAAATTATATTACAAATTTTTTTTTTTTTGCTATTAGGCTTCGGAGATTTCGTACCAGCAAAGGGTGTTAAGGACGAATCTGAGCAATCCATTGCATATTGCTCACTATATCTACTTTTCGGTATTTCTTTACTGGCTATGAGTTTCAATTTAGTACAAGAAGAATTTATTGCTAATGTGAAAGAAGTTGCAAGGCGTTTGGGTATACTAAAAGATGAAGATCGTGACGAAGATGATTAATAAGTAGTGCGTTTTTCAAATTTCATTATTCATAGATGAAATTAATAAATTAGTTATTTTATATATAGCAAAAATTTAAAAAAATAATCGATCAATAAAATATTCCTAAAATTTTTAATATATGAAATTTTTTTATATAATGAACATTATCATAATTCTTATGTATATATTATTGATATATAAATATTTAATATTTACATTATATTTTAGTTTTTATACTAATTTAAAGATAAAAATACTGTGCATATATTTAAAAATTCCTATCTATATTTTTTAAAATTTTTGTGCACTTTATCATCAACTTTTTTTACTGCTGCACTTCTGCTTTCCACTGAGGCGCTTTTATCTTCAATCTCAAGTTTACGTTTTGATTCCGTTTCATCGTAACCCGTTGCAAATATTGAATTTCCAGCTTGCGAATTATAGGGTCCAATAAAAGGATTTATTGGGTTATTGTAACCAAGACCGTAACCTTCTGTATATTGTGGTACAGTGACGCCAGGATATTGTTGTTCGCCAGGATACTGCACACCTGGGTATTGAACTCCAGGATATTGTCCACCAGGATACTGTGCACCGGGATATTGTGCGGAAGGAAATTGACCACCATTGATTGGTAAACCATTTTGACCACCAAAACCACCGGGATAGAAATTAGTACCACTTTGCGCTTGAGGAAAGCCTAAACCATTTTGATTTGGATATCCACCAGCAAATTGACCAATACCATTGTTTCCAGGTAATCCACCACCTTGAGCATTAGCAAAACCCAGTTGCGGAAATTGTCCTGGATAACCCGGAAAACCACCGACTTGTGGAAAATTAATACCGGTTTGTCCGGGGAAACTTCCGGGATATTGACCATTAGCAGGAGGAAAATATTGATTTTGTGGTCTACCTATAATGCCTGTTGGACCACCTGGACCAACTAATATACCATTTGCTGCATTACCAACACCACTTGCTCCAGGACCAGCAAACCCACCATTTGGATAATTATTAAACCCAGTTACTTGTCCGGCATTAAAATTGTTTGGATTATAAGGATTATAATTGCGTGTACCTACATTAGGATTTTCATTTTCAGGATAATCTTCGATTTCATCATTTTGAGCTCCACCAGGAATAGGTCTTCGTGTTGTAGGCTCACGTTCGCGTGCAACTTCCTCATACAATTCACTTCTGTATTTATCGCCACGTCTATCTAAATTGGCATTTGGCTCTGCACGTTCATAACGTCGGTGATTTGCCCAAACCCAACGATCATCACCGTATGTGTATGCACAAGACACGATTAATAGTAAAATTGTAGACGTGGAATGCATTTTATTTAAGGTGTATTTTTTTTAATATTCTTAATTATATTTACATTTATTTAAACATAAATTTATTTTTTAATTTACACTCATGATCACTAAATCATTTTAACTTTATTTTTGTTCTACTAAAAAACAGAAATTAATTTAAATTTCGCACACCGTGATTTGCTCCTATTTGTTCAGTTTGTGGTACTTAAATAACGCGGGTTTAGTTTGGCATGGGCTTCTTATATGTAGAATTTTACCACGCGACACAAACCCACTCAACTGTAGCGTCATCATATCAGCGGCAACCTTAACGTCATAAAGCAGATAAATCGTGTTCGTCAATCGCGCAGTCGATATGCTTTAATGAGTTTGCATTATACGAATGATCGGATATATACGCTACGTTTTTTTTTAAATTAATTGATCAATTCATTAGAAATTTTGTTTTTTTATTTTACAGCATTGGTTGCCAGTGGAATACATTTATTTGCAATTTAAGAAGAATTTACATTTATTTACATTTATTTTTGGATGGATCAACATCTGTTCACGCTTCATTTACAGACCGCCCAAGAATTGCAACAACCACCTGACCATCTTCTTTTCATGTTCTCATTATTTAACTAATTTATGCAATTTATGTTAATATCATTATTTTATCGGAATATCAGATATTAATTTAATCAAAATAGACAAGACATTGTCAAATATATCAAAGATGTAAAATCTTTGATTGATGGTGCATATGACTCTTAGTGGCTCTTCGGAACTACCTCCAATTACAATGTTTTTGCAAAATTTTTGAATTAATTTTTTTTTTTTATTGGGGAAAAAAACGTCTGGCAGAAAGAACTTTTCGGACATTTGAACTATCTGAAAACAAATTGGTGGTAAAATATATAGTAATGATTATAGATGATTAGAAATAATTGTGTATATGTTGTCATTAAACACTTTTCCTTGTATTGGAATAATCAAAACAATATAATTAGGAGTTAAAGATTGACCACGTTTATAAGACGAGGAACTTATGACCGGCAATAGAAAATTATTATATTTGTCACGAATTTTAGATATATATTCTCAATGATTTATATGTATTAAAAATCATTTAGCTAAGGTTATCAAATATCAGAGGGTTTAAAATCATTCTTGTCATGTGGCTACCTAATACACTCAAGAAAGTATGTTTCAAGCTTGTTTAACATACGCTAAATTTGGACTGTGACAAATAGATATGAAGTCCTTTCTCAAACTTACAGTTAAGACAATGTAAATTAAGGTGCGAACTTTTTATTGACAGATCAATAAACCAACCATAAGATTAATTAATATCATTTTAGAGATATTAGTCTCTCAAAACTATCTATCAATCAGATTACTAAATTTAAAAGGTTTCAATTTTCATAAAGATATCTGCACTTAGTACTGTGTTTATTAATTACACCCATTATATAAGAATTTAAAATTTAACTAACAGGCTAGTAGCGTTTTAGATACTAACACTCCTAATGGAACATTTGAGTAACATATGTGAATGAAAGTGTTTAGTATCATACTTTGTTTGAACAGTGGTAAGGTCCGCAACGCGCATACACTTAAGACGGATGGTCAGGCTCATCACTTCTATTAATAGAATATTAAAACTTAATAGTTCTATTCTATTAATAGTTAATAGAACTTTAAAATCGGTCTAAAACATATTGTAAAGTAAATAAAATTTATTTATGCTTATTCCATAACATTTATTATTATTGGACTCTATTAGGGAAATTTTTCAATGCACTATAAACATTATTTATTTATTAAACACACCTATTACTTATCTGTTACTATGAACCATATCACTTACAGAAGTTGTAGAATTTTAATTAAAATCTAAATTGGTAATAACAACACATAGCTAATCTGTGTCAGATTGGCATCAAAAAATCGGTGCATATTATTAACATTATTATTTATATAAATTCTTCAATAATTAATCTTCTGTAACTTAAAACACTACTTTATGGGTGTGTCACGTATAGCAAAGCGGCCGACTCTACTATCCAGAAGCTACAAGTTGCTCAAAGTCAGGCTCTCCGAAGACTTTTCAAAGTGTCATGGTACATCCGCACGAATGACATGCTAGAATAGATTCGGTCAAAAAATACATAAGGGACAGAGCCCTAAAGCTATATGTAAAAATCAACAGGCTGATCTTAGATCAGTCATTGAACAATCACACAATTATTAATAATTATTAATAATACACAAATTAGTCAATGAGAGGGTGGGACTCTGCAGAAACCCTCCAGTAATCAAAGAGTAAAAGTGCTCAGATGTACTAACTCGGAAAAGGCTCAGCATAATAATATATTTCTCAGTTCCGGTTATTGCTCCAGTAAAAATATTAATTTTTTGTCCATTCAACCCCAGCTTTCAAGCTTTGAACTTGATAACGACACCAAAATAAGTGAAAAAACGGGAAAGTGCCAAGCAAGCGCAACAAACAAAGCAAAAAAGTGCCAAGTAAAAGCACCAAAAATACAAAAAGTTTTTAAGTAAAAACACATAAAAGCGAAAAGTGCTAATTAAAAGCACCAAAAATGAAAATAATAAATAAACTCGAATATCTGCAAGTACCGTCTGCATAAAAATCTTAATCTTAAAGTAAATTAAAAAGAAATGATTATGCAAATTTCATGTATGCAATTAAGCTAACTTCCATATATTTATTTTTCATTCTATAAAATCAAAGAAAAGTATATTTAATAGCAAAGTAATAATAATACACGAAAATAAAGTACAATCATCAATCAAATTACTGAGGAAACAATGACGAAACCATATTGCTTTATCTAGATAGAAACATTTTATTTTTTTGGACACAGTGTGATGAACAAGAGAGGAACGCTCCGTTACGTAACTGACCTTTAAAAAAAACGAAATTTTAGCTATTTGGTTGGTTAGTTTTTTAATGTGTATTATATGTAGTGAACGTAACAATGTCTAGGCACCCATTTACCTAAATATGTTTTTTTTCCACAGCAAGGTCAACTCCCGCGATTATCAATGAATTAAAATTTTTATTATAGAAATTTGCGTAAATGGTAAATACATTTATTTCAAAGACACCAAACAAAATTTGGTGTTCTAAGGTGTTTAACACATATATGTATATAAAATAAAGACACATTTTCAAAATAAAAAGTTTAATGACCCTGTGCGCCAAGTTTAACATACATTTGTGGTATTCAGTTTAAATGCGGAAGTTTTAATTTAAGATGAACTAAAAAGAATAAAAATTGTTCTGCCGACTGATGTGCATATAAGGCGCATGTTGAGTATTTATGGGAATATATAATAAAAAGATTTTTTGCACTAATTTTTTTTGATAAATTCAAATTGGCGAATACAAATTTTAATAACAATAGAAAAAATTAAATATCTATTTTGATGCAACTTTATTCTTTAAAAAATATACACAAAGTATTTTATTATTATTAGATATGAAAATATTATTAAGTATCAAACTGTGGAATAATTTTTATTATAATAAAATATTTACAAAAAGTTATATAAAATAAAATTATGAACTGGTTTTTCAATTAAATTTAATTAAGTTAAAATATATGAGTACTGCAAATAAATCGTAATTAAAAAAGTTCATATAAAATATTAAAAATAAATTTATAAATTGGACTTAAGAAATCAGCACATTTAAAATTAGTCTATATAAATAGTTTTGAAAAAATTTACTTTGATTGTTTTTTGAAACTTTCTCTGGATACATTCTCTTTATTTTCCTGAAAATTATAAAGCAAATAGCATTATTTACATCAACTATTATAAAATATAACAAAGGAACTTACAGTCAACGAGATTGGTGTACTGTACCGTGGTGACTTCATTGGAGTTTTATTCTGCGGTGTATTAGATGGACGCAGCAATTTACTTGAATTTTGATTTGATATATTGCCGTCACTATAGTTAATACTAATAATACTTGTCTTCAAACTTTCAGAAGGTTCAATTGGCGTAGAGTTAAGTAGTAATTCGCAACTAGATATTTTTTGTGGAGATTCAATTGTATTTTCTTCTCCGCTACCCTAAAAAATAAAAGTTTTTGTATTAAATTTTATAAATTAATTTAATTTAATTTAATTTAAATAAGATTTTATTACCTCCTCATCAATTGTTGCTGTTGTGTCTAAATCAGACCATTCATTTTCTTGTCGGAAGCGTTTTACGATAATATTGTGCGGTGATGTTGCAGCTAAGACTCGTGGATAATTGAAATTACGTTTCGACGGTGTTGCACCGGTTGATTTGTAAACCTGTAATTCACTATCTTTGAATGTGTTCACATCTTGCGCACAATTTGTTATTTGTGCTTTATATAAATTTGCATAACCATTGACATGGTCTTGTAAACTTGTAGCAACTTCACTTGCTACTATAATATGTCTATTTAAATTATGCGAATTATTGTTTAAGCTTTCTGCTATGGCATCTGATGCTGCTTTCATGTCTTCTTTGCTTTTCTCCGATAATTGTTTAATCTCACTTTCATGTTCGTATAGAAGTTTAAGAGTTTGTGTGTTGTGCTCTACTTCATTTGATTCAAATGTTTTAATCAACTTCTCGTGTTGATCGAAATAATTTTCACTCTGAGCCTTTAATATTGAGCACTTAGAAATATATTTATCAACACATTTTAGAGAAGTTTCAGTTTGTTTGTCAAATAAGTTTTGTGACATTGCATTAGCTTCACAACATTTTTCTTTATTTTCCTCTATGCTATTTGCATGTACCTCTAATTCATTAATTGTTTTGTGACATTGTTGTTCTAATTTTGTACTTATTTCACTCATGTTACTAAAACATGTTTTACGCTGTACTGTTATGGATTGTAATTTTTGAATCATTTCATCGACTATCGCTTGTTGTTGTGCCGCTAAAGAAGTTTCATTTACAATTTCGGTATGTATTTTACCAATATTTAGCAGATTACTTGCAAGAATTTGTTTTATAAT